ATGTATGTATGTATGTATGTATGTACGTATGTACGTACGTATCTACGTATCTACGTATGTATGTACATGCATACGCTAATGTAATTTCATTTTTGCTTGTTTTATCTTTACGTATATGATATCAATAATACATAGGAACCTGTAATTTTGGAAGAATGAGGAAGACAGGAGGGAGAAAGAGGTTCTGAAACACGTATGAGGCAACGCTTGGATTATAACTTGAGAAATTCCTTGACAAATTCTTTACAAATGCGTAAACTGATCCAGTTACGAAAATCTTGCGCGTGTATGGTCCACACCAAAGGACAAAGATAAAGATACAAACCTGGACAAGGTCCGGAATGTTTGATAAGGACGGACATGCCTTGACATTGCTTAGAAATAACTTGACATTGATTGGAATATGTGATTCCGTCACTTCCACACATCGGCATGCTTCCACCACCATTCATCATGCATTCAGCTATCCTTTTCCTACATTCCTCCTGATAAAAAATAAAAAAATCAAGAGATAATTACGTGCTGTTAAATACTGCTTATATTAATAAATTTCTTCTTTTTTTTCTCTGTAAGTCACAAATGCGTCGAAAATATTCAAATAGTTAGACGTACGAAGTATTTTCATTGCGTTTAAGGAAAGATCATTTGTGTGTGTGCGCGCGCGTGCGTGCATGCGTGCGTGCGTGTGTGATAAATGACGATTTAGAAAATTCTATAATCTCATTCATAAAAAACGAAAGTAAAAGCAAAAGAGTGAAAGGGTAAAAACAGAAACTTATGAAATTGAGTTGATTGAAAATGGAATGAAAGAACAGAAGAGGAGAATCCTAAAAAACTATGCAAGTTTCTCATAGAGATTCTCATAGAGATTTTACTCACGATCAGAGTCAATTGAAGGCTAACGTGCAAATTTTCTGATAAAGTTGCGATAAATTAAAAGATAAACTAAATTCACAATTATATCAGTCTTAATCAGCCGGTCATTATGGAGCCATATATGCATAAATGTTGACTATATAAATAACAATATCGATTTTAACAAACATACATCACCACTCGTCGCATATAAACCGCGTCTAATTATATATTCGTTGAACGATGTATGATGTACTGGCTCGTACAATGTGGTGTCTCGCTGACGGAAGCCTCGACGGGAAGAGAATAATTGTATGGTTACTCGGTCGCCTTTTATCGTAATTAATTTGATAAGAAGGAAACGAATGGCCACGGTATAAAGAAAAATGATTTTCTCTTCAAACGCTGCATCAGGCATTGGAAAGGCGCGCTAGTACAGTGACTATTTTATCGCCTTTACTATTTTATCATTATGGAAATTGATTGAACTGCTCGATTTTTTTATTCACGTGTATAACCTCGCACGCATTCATTCGTATAATTTTGAAAACGATCGCATAAAAATATATTATATATATTTAATTCAATGAGTTGTTATTGCGAATACTTTGTTATAAATGGCATGTCTCATTATGTCCATAAGTTTAAATAAAAGTCAACTCTTTTCTTCTTTTGTTATACAATTGTTTAATACTATTATTTTTTTTTATACATAACGCATAACGCCCGAGTTATATGTATGTAATGATATTCGAAACAAGTCAAAGATGTTCAGTTTTAAGTATGAAAGAAAAGAGCTGTATGAACGAATTTTTGTCCGACAAATCTGTATTTTACAATTAATACAACTTTCTTGATCACTTGTTTTTTTTAAATCTGTAATAAATGAATTTTTTAGATTTTCTCCTCCGTTTCGAGTTGTCAGCGCGAGATTACCGCCATTCCAGAATGAAATTGGGAATGAAATTACTAAATTGATATACAATTGCTAAGAACAGTAAAAGTTTTGCTGCTTCAAATTTCTTCTCTTTTTAAATACGACACGTTATTGCATATATTACGTGCATATATTTTGCTCTTAGAATCTTTCTTACGCTTTACGTCTCAAATTCTAGTTTACAACTTGAAGAAATTAGCGTTCTACAGAATCTGTCCTTGTTTTTTTTCCGTCTTTCTCAATTGAATTTATATAATTAATATTAATATGATATATTATAAATATTATATTTCTATTAATTCAAACGAGAAAAGAATAAAACGTGAAACTTTACTTTAGGATTTTTTTTATACATGACAGCTTGCAATTTAATAAAATTTCCAAATTTACAAAGATTATAAGCAGAAAGTAACAAAGCGATGAATCGATGAAACTATTTAGTGTGCCGAGAATTGACAAAGCAGCGCCAGTGTTATAAATCTCTAACACTACTGCATCTGCAACAGAACGCATGTTTTTCACGCGTGCGTCTCGTTGTTGCGTTATCAACAGTTATTTGAAGTCTTGCGTGCAATGGCGGCCAAAGGTAATATTTAAGATAGTCTCTCTCTCTCTCT